AACAAAAGAAGAGAAAAAAGCAAAATGAGTGAAATTTATGAAATTTTCTTGTAGTCAAAAATAAAGATCGATTGAATAGTTGAAATTATACTTAAATAGAAGAATAATAAAGTATTAGAAATGCTGCTAGTTATAATTAAAAAGTTAAGAAATGCCATCAAAAGACAAATAGAACAAAAAAGTGTTTTTTGTTTTCGGTCGTGTTGTGTTTCGTAAGAAAACAAAAGTAAGAAAATCATTTTTTGCAAAATTTAGAAATAAACGGTAAGTCACACTTATGACGTCCACTCTCTTTTGCTGTTGTTTAACCTTCAATTCTCACATTTTAACGCATACAAAAAGTTCTTTAGCAAAACAAACTCTATTTTGTTCAAAAAATATACCATCAACTCATCGGCGAGATGCCAAGTTATTGAGAGTGACATTTAATTTGACAGCTATAAATTTCTCTTAGCCTCTTGCACCTTCTTCTTTTTCATTTTTGTTCGTGTTAGCTTTCTTTGACATCCCGACTTGTCCATGTGTTTAATAAATCAGGAAATTCGGACCAGGTATACCTGTTCTTTCGCAGTGGTCGCTAATGGTCGTTGCAGTCGGTCCTTATAGCAATTGTCCGAATGTCTTATAAAAATTAATCGAATAAGTTATGAGATAAATCGAATTAACGTTACCTTCTCAATAAGATACAAATTTAAGCTGTTAAGAGAATATTGTGATAATTGCGCCGAAATGAAATATATTTTCAAAACTCGGATATCTTTTTATATAATTTGCACCTTTTCTCACTTCCTCGTTGGGTGAAAAGAAAGTAAGTGGATCACTTTGACCAGTGGTATCACGAAGGCGGTGCAATATGCCAGCTAATCAATGAAAAATTCCAATTGTTGAGATGAAAGCCCTAGGACTTTTAATCAAAGATCCTGTATATAATATCTTTAAATATATTATTGCGCGTTGTTTTTTTTTTTTTTATTTTTTATTTTTTAAAGATTTTTCAAGTCATTTTAATTTTGTTACTTTTGTTTTCCTATTCATTCGGCATATATGTATGTATGGAATGAGTGAGTATTTAAAGTGTTAATCATGTGCGTAATCATGTGTTTTTGTTAAAACATGCCTTGCATAGGGGGAAATATAAAATAAATTTTTTTTAAAAATTTGTTTGAAAATTTTGAAATTTTTTTTTGGATATTTTTAAACCAATTACACCTGAAACCTACGCGGAGCTTGCGTTGTTGTTGTTCTAGGGTACATATATCGATATCTCGGAGTACTTGTGGCGATAGTGGTCGATGTTGTTTTTCTTGGCCAATACGAATTGCTGATATTCCATTTGGGTTTCATTGTCGTGGGGGGTATAGTATGTATAACATTGTCTGGCGGCCGATCGGTTATGGGCCGCTCTTGAGATCCTCGAACATATTTATCACAATCCTCTTCATCGCTTAAATCATTGCAATGATAGAGACCATCGCATCGAAACCGTAAAGGAACACAAACATTATTGGCGCAACGGAATTTATCGGCCGGACAAGGATTACGTTGATTGGCATTTTCATAGATGTTCGGATGATAAAAAGAATAATCATTGATATCTAATTCATGTATACCGCCCAGTACATTGAAAGACGATGATGACGATGATGATGATGATGATCGCCGAGGAGATAACGAATTGAGAGTTGTATACGAATAGTGATCGTATTTGCGTCTTAGCTCATCATCTTCGTAGTTTCGATTTACATTATTGCCATCTTTTATTTCTATGTATAATAATCAGTGTAATCATACCGCATGCATATCCAGTCGGTTTGAATACAAAAGATTAAGGATGATTTTATGATTCAAAAAAAAATTATTTTTTTTCGATTTAAAATTTTCAGTGCAAAGATGTTTTAGGAGACATGCATTTGTTGTTTTAATTTTGCATTATTATGTTAATAGTATCAGCCAATCAAGACGATGTTGTTGTTGTTTTGTTGTGTCCACAGCCGAGTTTATGATTTTAATTTTTTTTTAAATTTTTAAATATATTTTTTACAGTGTTGTTAATTTGTTGTTTTAATTTTTTATGAACCACAACCATAAAGAGTTTTTTTTTTTTTTTTTTGGTTTTGTTTTGTTTTTGTTTTTGTTTTTTTTTAAATTGTAAAAAACATTTCAAAAAAGAAACGAAAAGAAATTCAAAATCGATTAATATTTTGAAGAAATCAAAATTATACTTTAGATGTGCATAAAAGACAACAAAGCAAAGTAAATTTTAAATTTCATTATTCACAAAATTACCAACACCAAAAGAACACATTTAAAGAAAAATTTCGCACAAAAAATAACAAAAATTAATTAGAATTAATTAGAAAGGAAGAAAGAAAAAAAAAAAAAAAATACTTTGAAATACGTGCAGCTCAACGGGGACCGCGATGTCACAATTATTATTAAACACAACAAGTTACCGTGAGCCGGGTTGCGTTTTTCAAATTAAAATAAAAATATTATTTTTAAATTTTAAGTTTGTTAAAAAGCCAAACGTAAACGAAAATAATAATAAAAAAACCAAAAAAAAAAAACATTTAAAAACATTTTTTACTTTTTTCCCTTTAGTGATTCGTGTTTACTATTGTTGCTCCTTATCATTTTCATATATAATACGGCAAATGCATTAGAATAACATAGGTTATAAGTTAATTGAAAAGTTTGCGCAGCATTACAAGAAGCTGTCATGTGCATAAATAAATCGTTACCGGTTTATTTATGAAAAAAAAAAGAGAACAACCCGTTCATTTCAAGGTAAGCGAAGAAGATGATAATTAATTGAAAGTATTGTTCATCTACCGCCTGCGACATTTTCGAATTTTTCTTACAAAATGTGAGATACGCAAACAATTGATGATGCCATCTATGTAAGCACACATATTTTGGATACCATCATTACATAATATATTTCAGAGAGAAATGTTTGATGAGTGCAGCATCGATGGTCGGACATATTTCACTTCAATGCTACTGACTTATCTTGAACGTGTCTTCTAATATGAATACGAGCGTCGTTGCGCTGATCATTTAATCTATAATTCTTTTCCGCAAATTGTAGTCTTGTAGTTTTACCTTGAATGCTTGACATGATTGCTTAAGTTGCTTTTGAAGTCATCAGATAATCTCCCTGAGAATATTCGATCATTATTGTTAATTGGTTCTCTTAAGTCTCTGATTATCACGTGTTGCGCTTCCTACAACGTGTAGTGCCCATTTCTCATCATTCGTGACAGTTCAACTTCACTTTCTTTCAAGTCAAGCTCAAGTTAATGTAATACTTCGCAGCTGTGACACTTTTTTGGCACAAAATCTGAATGCAATCGAAAGCCATGTTTAGTACACTTTTCACCGGATTACTATGAACTCTCACAGGAATTTTAAAGATAGTAATTGCAAAGTTCGATGGATGCTCAAAAACCGATCTCGACCTATTCAAATGTCTGGTATATGCTTGAAATACTTTCATGCTTTATATGAATTTTAATAGAGTTTCAAAGTGTTGGAACGCATTTCAAAAGGCATGAAATATTTTTTAGCGGCTAAATTTTTCTGTTTTAAAATTAACAATTCCGAAATAGATAGGTAAGTTATTTCGTCGTTTGTTGAAGTTCAACAAGTATCACTGCTAAGTGGATGAATGACAATTGAATAACTTTAGTTGAAACTGTAATTGTGGGGTGGAGTTCCGTGGCCGTCTTAAATGAAAGCTTTGTTCCCGGTTTAAAAGAAAAACTCTACAGTTGACAGTTTCTTGCTTTGGAAGAATGGAAACTCTAGAAAAGATAATTGTCAATCTGAATAGCAACAATAGAACACTAGAGGGATACTATTATCATTATTTTGCGAAAGAGAGAGCCGGCCTGCGCGCTAAAAAGGACAAAGATATAGCGACATAAGTTTTCCGAGCCAGCAAACCTTGAAGCCGATAGGTGAATAAGTAACACAACAATATCATTTTCAATTCAATTCAATTTTGATACACGATAGATTAAGTATGTATGAATGTATGGAACACAGTTCACAATTCAGAATCCTTTACTGAACTGGTTTAAACCTGTCTATCGATCTGATATGTTGATGACATTCGGTAAACTAAGATGTCTTCTGCCGAAGACGAGTTGTCCGTTTTCCAACGCAGAGTATTTTCATATCTTTGAGGACTTTCTCCACTGATATGACCATTAAATCTAGATGAGTTCCGTTAAAAGGAGATTGGATCGGATCATTTTTACGACTGTTCCCAAATATGATTGAGTATTTTGATAAAAATATATAAATATAAAAATAGGTCCATAGCTATATTTAAATATAAAATAGATGGACAAGATTGGTTGGTTTTATGGTTTTCCTTCCCTATAAGCATTCTTATGAAAAGTAAGCCTTTATATGATGAAAAAAAAAAAAAAAAAAAAAAAACAAAGTCAGTTGAGACTGGAGAGTATATTACGGTTGATTGAAAAGTTTTAGCCCGTTTTTTTTAAGACAAGGCCCATCGACAAAGATCATAAAAGTCTTTTCCCAATGGCCGAATGATGGAAATTACGCTCGAGTGTCCATTATATTCATCAGATTGGAAATCGTTCGACTTTTGATTTTTATCAAACCAAATCATTTAACAGTGAATAGAGAGGTAATTTGATGGACTTCCATCAAACTATATCAGCCACGGAATAAATTAAACAGAGTATGGTTAGACAACGTGGTACTATCTTCAGCTTGATAGAAGAATTCTTCTTCTTTTTTTATTTTCAGCAAAGCATAATATTTGTTTTTATGGTATATTTCGCTCCGCGAACTTTTCAATTTGCAATTTATATATAAATATAATGCTTTAGTAAATAATGCGCTTTTTTTTTATGGTAATTTGCTTTTTTGTAACTTTTGAAGTAAGAACTATGTTTACTGCTACCAACACCACGATTAGTCAGTTATTTTACTTAAGTGATTTCTTCGTATTTTCAATTTTGTTTAGTTAAAAAGAATTCTTTTCTCATCACACCTCTTTTTCAAAACCTCTTTCTTTCTAAATTAATTGAGTAGTATTAGCAAAAAGGTGCAATTTTTACTCTCCATTGCCCAGAGTTACTGATATTTAGTGAAATTTTAATTTATTTTCAGGATTAAATTTTTTTTTTTTACTTTTGACTTTGCTCTTCGTTTTATTTCTAAAAATTTTAATATTTTTGAACTAAAGTATTCACAAACTACTCAGGCGGAGGGAATAATTATATTCAGTAAATAAATATTTACACTCTACATCCCTTATGATCTAAGCGTATATCAAGTTGGTGTGGACGTACGCAACACCTACAAGGACTTCAGGTAAGCCCATCTTTTATTATAACGATCGATTAGGAAACACTTTCTGATTTGATTTAAGTGTGTCTGTCCGTCTGTCCGTCTGCTCTTCTTCGTTTCTTATGTTCTACCTATAGACCGTAATTTGTCCGATATTTTAGTGAAACTTGCTACACTGATGTATTTTGTTGCAAAAAACGAACGCTATCGCAAATGACTCAGATCGGACCACTTTCCCGATCACTTCCTATCTAAAGTCTGACTTTGAAAAGTCGTTACGAATAACTGTATTAAGCGAAGTGTTCTAAAGTATTTAGTCGGGAGTTTATTTGTTTTTATTAGCTTAAGTGTCAAGATGATGTGCGTGTGCAAGATTTTAAATGTGGTCATAAAAGGAAGTGCGCAAAGGAAAAATAGACATTATTGAAAGAGAATTCAAGTTTTTCATTCGAAAACTCGCCGATTAAATAAAACTTAAAACTTTCAAAAATATTAAAAACTCCTACAATAAACTATTTCTCTGACTATGTATAAAGATGTAGGCTCTAAGGGTTTTCTGAGGTACAAATTTGCTTCAGTCACTCTGCGTACTGCAGTTGTTGTTTTTTGTTAATATCTTTCAAAAGTTTTTTTTTTTTTTTTTTTTTTTTTTTTTCAATACTTATACATACGTTTAATGACTTTCTCAAATTTATTATGTTTGCTTCAATACAAAAAAAAGAATTACTAAAGAAATGCTTGCTCGTTGGAATAAACATTTAGAAATACGGATCACAGACCCAGAATGGCAGAATGAACAACATTAGGTGAATGAGACGACCGTATTTGATCGCTCATTAAATCTTGGTAATCTTAAAATCGCAAGAATTAAGATACGTCGGCGAACCTTGCAGAGTCTCAAAAAGTACGAAGTCAATCATCTTTGCCGCTAATTTTAGTAATTTGCTTAATATGCATGATCGCTTTTAACGATATATCGAGAATGAAATGCTTTTCGCATATAATTTTCGTTGCGCTTACCTCAAGAAAATCCGAAACTTAAACTCTTAACATGAATGTAATTACAAATGCGGCTTTTCCATTATTCGCTAAGCTGTGTAATACCATCGGCATTTAGCATTACATTGAAAGTTTCACTAAATTGTAAGTATTGTACATTGTATATATGTATGTATGTTCCTGGTTCTTGGTTTTAATTCTAAAAAAAATGTTCATTTTCTTTTTATTATTTTGTTTAGCGAATAGTGGAACATATATATGAGAATATTTGATAAGTATAATGTTGACCCGTTAAAAGAGCTGAGAGACGTTAATGCAAACAATAATACGTTAACAAGTTATGTTCTGATATGTCGGAGATTCGAAAACGTTTATAACCATTGTTCTCAAGTAGACTAAATAACTTAAAAAATTTGAAAAATTTATAAAAATCATCATAAAAAGTAATGGAACGACAAAGTTGACTATCAACGAATAATGATCGGAACAGAAGTTACTCATTAAACTACTATTCCCACTACTATTACATGATTCCATTATAAATTCTCATCTACGTACAACTGTTCCTAATATGTTTGGGTTACCCCGGTCACCTTTTTTTCATAGTTTCACCTAAGCTATATTGGATAAATATTTAAAAAAATAAATCGACAAATAAAAAATGTTTAATAATTCTATTATTACTAATTTGGAAAGTAAAAAAAAATGGCGAGCTAAAATTTAATTTAAATCGAAAGAATCCGTTTGAGTTTGTATTCTATCGATTAATGAACCTTATAAGTTTAAAATTAAGAGAAAACTGCGAGTGATCAAAAAGTTTATACATTTTATTGTTTATTTGATAACAAGTAAAAACACGATAGTCATCGACACCCCGCCATTAAATGCTCCATATCGCCCTATAGTAATTCATATAATGAGGTGGTTGCAAAAATGGTCCAAACTGCACCACTTTAAATAGCGTTCGTTTTCGAATGAAAACGGGCCAGTGCACGCTCTATAAATTGAACACAAGAAAACAAGACGGACAGACACACTTATATGAAATCAGAAAGTGAATCTAAATCGATCTGTGACCCTATCATAAGCGTTTCTGGATGATGCATACATTCGCGCTTATTTAGTATACTTTTATATGATAGGTGGTGTAGAGTATGAAAATTGCCTGAGAATTTGATATTTGTGTGCAAGAAAAACCAAGTTGTTAATCATTAACTTGAAGAGAATTTCTCTATTTAAAACTTTCCTTACGAAAATCTCAATTGAAATGAAAAATTTGTCCGTCAAAATTTTCAATTTATATGCGAATAGAACTTGGAATCACACATATTCATATATATATATATATATATATATATATATGTAGATATTTATATATATATATATTTATATATATATATATTTATATATATGTATCTATGTATGCATACTTATATATATATATATTTATGTTTATTATAACCAACACCCATTTAGACCAACACAATTAGACATATACAGATAGATTGGATATAAACATCGAAAACATCCAGTAGAGCAGCATAGTTTGGCTTTAACTTACCGCAGTCGATTTCATCTGAATAATCAGAACAATCATATATATGATTGCATACCTCACGATAGGGTATGCATTGACCGTTATTGCAACGAAATTCATTAAATTTGCAATAATCATCATTGTCACCGCCTAAGGCGTATTAAGAAATATAAAACATTAGAATGCAAAACATAAAGGTGCAGGAAAGTCATTATATATGTGCAAAGACAGAGAAAGAGAGAAAGAGAGAGAGAGAGAGAGAGAGAGAGAGAGAGAGAGAGAGAGAGAGAGAAAGAGAGATATATATATAGAGAGAGAGAGAGAGCATTCCGTGCATAAAAGGAAGAAAATTATAAAAAATACAAAAATAGAAAAAAAAAAAATTTGCTGTAAATTTTTTTCAAAAAAAACTTTTCATTTCATACAACAACACTATCTACTATATATAATATTATATATAATATTAATGATGCATTGTTTAAATGAATTAATGAAAGCCGTGATTAATCTTGAAAAAATCTTTGCCTTATTGAAAGCGTGCTTCTTAACATGTTACTCATGTCTTTATTTGATTTGATATCAAAAAAATTAAAAAAAAAACAAAATTCATTGCAATTTAATGAATGTACTGATCTCATTTATCTGAGGTGTTTAATTTATTTTATAGAAAATATTAAGCATGCGCATATTTTTTCTTTTTCTTTTCTATAATCAGTAGAAAAAAATTTAAAAAAATGAAAAGCATTATATGCAAACATTTTTTTATATGCAAAAATAAGAAAGAAAAAAAAAAGAAAGAAATGAATAGTAATAATAAATAAAAAATGCAAATGAACACTTAAAAGCATTAGAACGGAAAAGTGAAAAGAACGAAGGGAATCGCACATGTTTTTGCAAATCTGTGATATGCATACCAATTGATCGGTATTCGTGTGATGTGAATGAATGACTGACTGGTTTAACAACCGAAAACATGAAAGGGAATTATATTTCTTTTCTTATCAGATTGGCAATGTGTTGCTGTCGCCTTACTAATGATTTTATTACGTTTCAAAGAAGAAGCTTTGAAGAAGATATGTCGTCTTTTAAGTATGGACTAGCTGAGGACTGAAACGTGTTTTTTAATTTAGATCTCTATAGATAATTCAATGATCAGAAGGGGCTTATCTAAGTAGCATAGATCGGCTTTCAAATCTCTTGACTTTTGTAAAGAGCGACTAGAACAATCTTGTGCATTATATGATGTGTGATGGTCGGAAAGCATAACAGGATTGGTTCAAATCTAACTCTTCTAACTAATCTTAATTGCTGGCCATTGAAATCGATTAAAAGGCAAAACATCCTGTACACAGAATAACTTAGACTGGAAATACATGGGTCAATTTTGCTAAGCTATCATTAGCTGCTATATTTTCCTAACCAGCAGATTGTAGTTAACTCAGCTTTAACATGGAACTGATTTTTTTTTTATTTTTTTTTTTTATACGGAAACTGGTAAAACCGTTCTCACCATAAATAATATATTGATTTTATTATCTCTATACGACTTTGCCTATTCTCACCAATGATAACTTTTTACATGCAAGGGTAAGACAGTTTTTGTCAGACATTAACTTGAAATTGTACTGAAAAATGTATCGGAACGACGTAACCAATTTGAGCAGCAATTATCTCAATCGGACAGTAATAAATGATTGAAAGTTGGCAATAAAAAACCGAGAATGAATGAAAAATTATACAATTCGTAGAATTCTTAATCTGGGCGATGGATATTGGAAATTGTCGTTAAGGGGAGTAAAGATTTGCTACTTATTTAATATAACTTAAAATTCAAATATCAGGTCTCATCTTTATTGTATTTATTATCCTTAGGAGTGTACATCAAATTAAGGGCTAAACTGTACTTCTTCTCGAATAAAGCGTCCAACTATACTTAATATTTTGAAGTGATCTCTTAAGCATAGCTTGGAAAATGTTCTTTGCAGTATAGATCAAAGCTGGACTTATGCACGTAGTGAGCGTTCAAGGTCTGTCTACTCATAAGTTTTAAATTTGTTTTATTTTTATTTCTCTCAAATTTCGAATCGCATTATAATAAGGAAATTGGCCCATGTTTAGAAAAATATATTAGCGTTATTGCAGTTTAGGACTTTAAAAATAGAATCCGATTTCTTCAACTTAATTATTTAAAGCTTTTTATAAATTGTTTACGCATTTTTTATTTAAAACATTTCTGATTTCTCACCATCGCAATTCCTTTCATCGGATATATCTTCGGGACAATCCAAATTGCCATTACATCTCAAACGTTTACTAATGCAAGTGCCATCATCACATTGCCATTTATCGTGTAAGCAGGCTAAAGGACAAATTTTTTTTTGAATTTAAAATAATTATGAAAATGATGAAAAGAAAAATCAAAACACAAACATACGACATCCTTCTTCATCCGAACGATCACCTGGACAGTCGACATGACCGTCACATCGTAGTACTATCGATATACAGGATAAATCACGGCATGTGAATTTGCCCTTTGGGCAAAAATATTTTAATTTCGGAACAACTAATGCGAGAATTTTTTTTTTTTTTTTTTTTTTTTTTAAGCATTAATGAAAATGTTACAAAGAAAGTGTAAAGAGAAGAAGAAAGAGATGAAGTTAGATGAGCAATGAGATATGTTGATTATATATATATATATATATGTATAAATGTATATACATATACTGAGAAAATAAGTAAAAATTATACTTACTACTATCGCAATGTTCCTCGTCATCTCCATCGATGCAATCATTGAAGCCATCACACAATTTCGATTCACTTATACAATTCATACCATCTCTACACTGATATTCAATGCTACTACATTCATCCGCTATTATAACGGCACATAAGCATTTAAGTTAGTTTACATACAAATTTTTGGTTAAAAAAAAAAAAAGAAAAAAATTGTTGTTTTCATGCAATAAGTTTTAGTAGTAGTAGTAGTAGTAGTAGTAGTAGTAGTAGTGGTAGTAATAATACATAGTAATCCGGAGTTTTAAGAAATGCATGTTAGAAAAAAGAAATACAATTAAGAGTAAATTGAGTTGTTTTTTTTTTACGAAAAGCCTTTGCTTACAAAAAATCCTTCTATTTTCATATAAATAATAGAAATTTTGAGAAAATAATTATTAGAAAAACTTACGGCATCTTTCGTCTTCGTCATCTCCATCCGGACAGTCGAGAATACGGTCACAACGTTTACTGCCATCAATGCAATTTCCTGAACGGCATTTAAATTCGGAAGAACTGCACTCTGCAAAATGAAAAAAATATAGAAAAAGAAAATAAAACAAAAGGAAATGTTTAAAAAAGAAGACATAAATAAATTACTTCTTTTCTTTTTTTTTTTTTTACTGCGAAAAGTAGGCTTCACATTATTATTTTTAAAGTTTGCTTCAAAGTATGCCTTAACTGTTGTTGTATTTTGTTTTGTTATTTATCGGGAAAAAAAAAGAAAAAAAAACAAGAACAAGAACAACAAAAATTTATTGTCATGCAAATTTAATCGTTTTCGGTTTTCGCTTGAAAACAAAGTTTTTCCTTTCTTTATAACTGACAATTGCATAGAAATTCCTCTATAAATAAAAAGTAGCAGAAAATTCTTGACTCGATTTGACTTGAGAAGCCGTATCTACCTTTATAAAACTATCATTTCAATGATATCTGCAATGCGCTCATTATGATATCATGTAAAGGAAATTTGCATTTTGCGAATCAGAAAAACTTAAACGAAAGAAATTTTTAAATTTTTAATAAAACTTTTATTTCCTAATGAACGTCATTTATTGGCTAATGAATGTTGCTCATGATGGAATCTGTCTCAGACAACACTAAATGTTCAAGACTTTTGTGTTAAAAAAACAAAAAAAGGAAAAAAAAAAAAAAAACGATTACAAACTTTCTTTTACGGAACAAACAATACAACACTGAACATTAGATATAATGTAAATAAAAAAAGTGGAAAAACATGACGATTTTGTTTAAAATTTAAAATAATATGTTAAGTATCGGACTGGGATTTTTTTTGCCTCTCAAACCCACATTGCCCACGTTCTCGTAGTTCATTTTCAAAATTTTTCTGCCAAAATATGAATGAAAAGTTATTGCTTTAAACAGTTTTGATTATTAATCAGAAGAATGAATGTGCGCTGAATATATCGAGGAGTTGTTGTAAGCGTATTCTGGACGGGCTTTGCAATAGGAATCTAAGCGTCTTCTTGCTGGAAGATTACCTTAAAATGCCTTTTCATCCATTGCAGTCGTTCTTTCTTGAATGCCTCACGCTTTTGCTTCAGCTCGTATCGCTGAGTTAGAGCAACTCATAGTTTATTAAAGCTAATCGCTTTAAGTGGGGATGTTAAGTGCATTCGTTTCATTGTCATTGTCCTGAATGCTATTCACACTCATAACATGTGCTGTACTAACTGAACATCACCTAACACGACTCCTTCCGCTCAAAGGGGTGAAGTTAAGTCGTCCGCTTTTGTTGGATTTTGCTAACGCAGAACTTGATTTGTTGCCTGCGGAAATTCATATCATTTCCAAGATTCTAGATTCTAGGAGAAAGTCAGTCATTAATACCTAGTTGTTCGAACAACAAACAAACTACTATATGGTACACCTATTAAGTAGCAATGCAGTCAGCAAAGACGATCACGTATAGGAGAATATTTGCTATGGAAGGAAATTCCCAAGTCCAAGATTATCTTAAGTGAGGAAGAGTTTTACATTTTGAAACTGGCATAAGCAAAGTCGTGTTTTACAAGAGGAAATTTGGATTTTTTAAATTCCGATTAACAATGGCTTCGAGTAAAATTTTATTTCTAGCATTTGCATTTCTTTTCACAGTTAACATAAGACAAAACTATACTGCCATGAGCCTAATTAATATGAAAACACAAAAAGAACGCAGCTTGATTCAAGTCATCCCAACAATCTAACACAAAACTTGGTCTTTGATGCAAACAAAATTTTATGAATTGGCTTTAAAAGAAGAAGCAAGAGGAAAGTCTTATTCGGATCTTTTGGCCAAAAATTTGATGCTAAAGTTCGTGCACATAGAACATAAATAATTGAAGAAACTAATTCCACCAAGACGAAGCTCGAATACACAACAGCTTTCTTAACCAGCCGTACAATGAGAAATTTGTAGTAAGAGTTCTTCGAACATCGACAACGTTTACAAATTTGTGCAGTTGTTGAAGGGTTCTATAAATTCTCATGGGGACTTGTTGAGAGAGAGGTGCATTCACACTAAATATATGACTAAAAGATTCGTTGCATTTCGAAAATGAAAAATGTGACTTTTTATTTCTCATTCTGAGTTGTGTTTGAAAGAAACAAAAAAAAAAAAATGTATCCATCAAAATGTATTTTGCGCGTTTAGAATAGGCTCAGCGAAACTCTCCATCTACCATCTCTTGAATTAGTCCCGCTTACATTGAACCGATAAAGACATGGTTTTTATTTACTTGAGGTCTATATCTACATCGATCTTAAACACTTTATTGTCTTACTGAGATAAAACTAAGGAAAAAAATTATAATGTTTCCAATATGTAATCCTGTTCAGAGAGAGAGAAAGAGAGAGAGAGAGAGAGGTAGAGGCCAGCAAAACTTGCTTTATATAAACAAAACCGTAATGTACGCGCTTAAATGGTGTTTGAATATTTAGAGTTCAACAAGTTCTTTATTCTGATTGTACTTTTTTGCTGAGCGTATGCTCATATTGTCATAGTATTTGCAACTACGAGAAGGAAGCTTCAAAGATTCTATATAGTATATGTATTTTTGACAAGCATGAAATCCTGCACCGACTAAGCCATGTCGGTCCGTCTGTGTGTGTGTATATGTATCAACATGTTGTTGACACTCTTCTAGTAGCTAAAATGAAAATATCGAATTCAAATTTGATGGGAACCTTTGAAGCTTGTGCATCTTGGAAGGCACTGAAAATTGGCTATATTGGTACGAGCACATGCTCGCACTTAAACGTAAACTGTAGGTAATTCTGGGTGTCAAATAGAAGGACTTGGAAAGTAGATTTCCAGAACATACGTGTGCTAGTTCCAAATTAAATACTGCAGACGTCACCAAGCAGTGAATTAACTCTTTCATAACAACACCATCGATATGGATATCCCATAACACGACTTGAAGAATAGAATGCGACAAGCTAAGTATGTTAATTCTGAATTAATTATGGTAGACGTGCCGATAGAGCGAATGAAGTTTTCCTCGCAATTAGTTATATTTTACCCATCTCAGTTACTTTTTGCAACCATAGGTAAATAGAAGCATGCGGCGCTAAAGATTTCCATCGTGATGGGTTTGTGAGATTCGGCTCAAGCCGAATATAACTTTCTAACTTGTTAATTTGTGTTCTTTTTGTTTAAATTAAAGCCTTTACTTTTTTTCTTAACTATAATGTACGTAGCAGATTGCTCCTTAGTTGTATACGTATATATTGCATTTGTTTGTTCGTTTATTTTAACGAAAAATCAACATGTCTGAAAAGTGAAAGAAATAAGTAAAGCTGCTCTGTAAGATTTCTGCTTCACAATAACGAAAGGACGAGAAACTGCTGAAAAGCAATTTAAATGATTTTAATGTGTAAATAAAATATTAGATAACGTGAGAGACGTGTATAGTGAAATCGTTAAACTAAAATAAAAATATATATCATAGAATTTTTTCTTATTTATTTATTTTTTTTTTTTTAAAGGGAACATTTGGTCAGAGCTTTAATGTATTGATTAAATTTTAATAAGTTATACTTATTGAAGATAGAAAAAAAAAAAAAAATGTATTTCATTTAAAACAAATGCATATCTTTAAGATGTTTATTGAGTTTACAAACATAGCATAACTTGTGGGTTTTTAATTATTTACACAAGTACGTTGCCCAAATCATGTCGTCTTATTAAATTTTTAAAGCTCTGCTTTAATAAAAGAAGGACGAAATGCAGCAAAAATAAATACGAAATTAATATCATACAAGAGCACAACATGTATCTGCTTGAATATTGAGCGTATGTATGCTAAGCACGAGTATGCGACAACATTAGCTCATGGGAGTTCAGAAGTTGTACAAGGGCTTTATGTTGCCTAAACATGTAGAGGGTTGAAGAGAAACTTTTACGTTTGCTATTAGGTAAGTAAGGTAAGGGTTAACTTTATAAATAAACCCGAGGTGGCAGAGGTTTTTCATTGTCTTCTAATGAACTCAAATAGTCGAAGTTAACAGTTAAGCACAGAGAGTTTAGCAATCATAAAACGCACACATCAGTCTCTCGCTAAATCCAATACGACATAAGGCTCGGGACATTTACGAGTTTGTTGTTTCATTGAGAAGGTCAATTGGTTTAAACATCGTCGAATTCGTTAGGTGTTCGTTAGATTAGCTTTTCATTCCTGCACAAAAAAATCAAAGTTATTGCGATTTTCAATTCTAACAGGCTATCAGTTTTATGAGGCATATGCTGAAGGTCAAGGTTTCATTTTTTGAATTGAAAGCAAGTGAGAAAATCTGAAAGAATTGAAATTTCTATTGGAAGAGAAACACGTCGAAAGTTTACACAAATATAGTTTTGGATGACTTCTTATTTTATTATTTCTTTTGTTAGATGGAGAACGGAGGATTTCTAAGATTTTTGTAAGGGTTTAATAGGAAAGGAATAATCTATCTAATATAAGTATGGGTTGTAAAACTTCTTGTAACGCTTCAAGAATGATACCTACGCCGATAAAACAATTAAAACACTTCAGAGATTCATCTATACTTAACAAATATTTCAATATTCAGATAGGCATTCCTTTCCGACAGATTCTTTCTTCAGGTTTTATTTTATGATCCACTGCTTGCACAGCAGATTTCATTGTATTAAATCAAGTACGAGATTTTAATGCGTTAAAGTTCTTTAGTATCGTCGTTAAGTTTCTTCCCTCCGCAAGACTTCAATTTCTTTTATAACTCTACAACTGAGTAACTACAGCTCCTTCTTTCCAAGATTTCATTATAATGAATAATTTGAACCGCTTGATATTTCATGAAAACAAATTCAAACAAAAAATTAAATAAAATGATTCCAGAAAGTGTCTATAAAACATGCTTCGATGATTGAATTAGGCATTGCTGTAAGCATAATACTTCAGATCGACCGCTTTCCGTCAAAAATGTTTATAAAAACATTTTGTAATTATAATGTGAGATGGCATTTTTACAATTTCCGGCAATCTTTCCATAAAATATACA